TGGTTCGAGACCCGGCTGCTCCATTTCCTATCCAGCTCTCTGCTCTGGCCTGGGACAGCAGTAGAAGATGGCCCAAGTCCTTGGGTCCCTGCACCTGCATGGGAAATCCGGAAGACGCTCCTGGCTTTGGATCGGCGCAGCTCTCGCTGTTGCGGCCAGTTGGGGAGTGAACCATCAGATGGAAGACCTCTCTCTCTCTGCCTCTCCTCTCTCTGTGTAACTCTGACTCTCAAATAAATAAATATTAAAAAAAAAGATATTCCTGGTTAATGTCTCAAATGAGAGACTCAGTCCTGGTTTGAGGGACTACCCTGAGGTCTTTTTTTTTTTTTTTACTTTTACATCCCAGCCTTATTGGGGGTATAACTGACAAAAATTGTATACATTTAAAAATAGGTGTATAAAAATAAATAAATAAAAATAGATGTATAACATGATCATTCAATATATATGCACACCATGGGAAGATTACCATAATGAAGCTAATGAACACACCTGTCACCCAGTTACATTTTTTGGTTATGAGAAGACTTAAAGATCTACCTTCTTAGCAAATTCCAAGTCTGTGGCACAGCATCACCGGCTGCAATCACCAACTTACTCATCTCGGAACTGGAGTTTATACTCTTTGAACCGTGATTCCCCATTCCCAAGCCCTAGCCTCTGACAACCACCGCTCCACTCTCTGGCTCTGTTACATAGCTTGACTTTGTGAGAACCCACATAGAAGCGTGAGATTAGGTGGTGGTGTTTGTCTTTCTAAGCCTGGTTTATTTCATGTAACATAATAGTCTCCAGGTTTATCTGTCCGTCTCCAATGGCAGGACTTCATTTTCTGAGTGGCTGAATAACATTCCGTCATTTAAATGCCCCGCCTTTTATTTAGCCATCATCAATTGCCTATTGTACATGATGTTGCAGTGAACATGGGAGTGTGAACATCTCTTCAGCAAACTGATCTTATGAATTTGGGTATGTATGTAGAAGCAGGTTTTGCTGGATTGTATCATTGTTCTAGTTTTGATTGTTTGAGGAACCTCCATTTCCACAGTGGCTATACTAACTTACAGTCCCACCAATAGTGTTCCCTTTTCTCCATACCTCCCCAAGTGTTGTCTCTTGTCTTTTTGATCACAGCTATCCAAACAGCATTGAAGCAGTACCCCATTGTAGTTGTAACTTGCACTTCCCTGATGGTCAGTGATGTTGAGTATCATGTACCCATTGGACTTTGGTATGTCTTCTTTTAAAACATCTTTCTAGATCCTTTGCCCATTTTAAAAAAGACTTTATTTTTATTTATTTGAAAGAGCTACAGAGAGAGAGAGAGAGAGAGAGAGAGCAAGATCTTTCATCTACTGGTTTACTCTCCAAATGGCCACAATGGCTGAGACTAGGCCAAGCCGAAGCCAAGAGTCAGGAGCTTCTTCAGGGTCTCCAACCTGAGTGCACTTGGGTCATCTGCTGCTGCTTTCCCAGGTTCATTAGCAGACAGCTAGATTGGAAGTGGAGCCTCAGGAACAGGACCCAGAGCCCATATGGGATGCCAGCGCTGTGGACAGCAGCTTTACCTGGGCCACAGCACTGCCTTTGCCCATTTAAAAATCATATTATTGTTATTATTATGTGCTATTGAGTTGTATGAATATTTTGGATGTTAATTCCTTAACACATGTAGGGCTCACATCAATCTTCTCCCAGTCCATAGGTCGCCTTCTCATTTTGTTGGTGGTTTCCCTTCCCATGCAGAAGCTTTTTAGTTTGATTCAGTCCACTTGTTTGTTTTGCTTTTGGTGCCTGAACTTAGGGGGATCGTTCTTTTCTAGCCTGTTCAAAGTGCTGGGGTAAAGCTGAAATTTAGTAATTTGTCCATTCATTCAAATCAGCGATTGGACCGCACCCAAGTGCCAGGAACTGCCTGAGGCACTGGGGATCGGGAGGGCAGACTGCTCTCCCTCTCAGAGAGCTCTTCTCAGAGTGAAGAAACACAGGCAGGAAATGAGCAAATGAGAGCGATTTCAGCTAATGAGAAGGGCGAGGAAAAAAATAAAACAGAGGGAGATGCAATGATGATGCCATTGTAGGGGCTACTTTAGATTCCAGTTGGATCTTGAAATGAGGAATTGAGGCTAATGATGCTACACATGTGGAGCGATTTACAGTTTACAAATGCAAAGAGGCTGGCAGCAAAGGTCTTCTACTCTGACTTTTCAGATGAGAAACCAAGGTTCAGTGAGATTAAGACACATACTCAAGGCACCAGGAATGGCAGCTCCCAGTTCTGGCTCCATGCCTGCCTTCATTTCCAGGACCAAAGTTTTTCTCACACTGTGCAGTAATGTGGAATGTGGGGTGGGTGGGTGGGTGGTGGTGGTGGTAACAATGGTGCGTGGGATGGGAGAATCAGCCACAGCTAGGCGGGAAAGGCAAGAAACACGTGCCAACGCAGGAAGAGCCCACAAGGGGGCAAGGAGGGTGCCAGCTCCCCCTAAGGTCATGGGTAGGATCCAGAGGGCTGCAACTTCCCCAGGAACGCATCTGTCCGCACCCTGCTCTGCCTGCACCACTGTTCTCAGCCTCCTCCCCAGGCTCGGGGGAGCTGTGGGTCACATGTGGTTTCCATCACCGCATTTATCTGCCTCGTTGTCATCGCACTTGGAAGATGACCGAATCCTCTTTCCCATCCCAGGCCTCCCCAGACTGTGCAGGGTGCACAAGTCAAATCTGGACAGGCTGCCTCATCTCTCACAGGTTAGAAACAGGGAGAGGTTTCAGGAATGTACAGTGATGTACCACCCACACCCCTTCCCCCTTTATTAAAACAAATCTGAAACAACAGATGCGGAAATGTTTCCACTGTACCATTTCACCCTGCCTGGTTACAACCCTGCCTTCATTCACACCCAGCTGGGTGATCTTTTCTTTCTTTCTTTTTTTTTTGTGGCCTCAGGCAAGTAGGGTTCTTCCCTCCCAGTCCCTCCCATAATAAACAATCACTAAACAGCTTGCTGCTCTAGGCAACTGTGTGTCCAGCTTGGCCAGGCCCCAGGACTTGAGGGTGGGAGGTGTTCTCAGCCTGTGAGGCCAGAGAGCTGGGCTTGGCCCACAGATTCTGCTAGGCACCTAGCACTTTGCGGGGGGGGGGGGGGGGGGTAGTGGCCTTTTAGAGGGGCTGGGACCTTGGAAGTCAACTTAATGAGGAACCCACCATCTCCTACTGACTGTAATTAGGATCATTCTCTGCTTCGAGTTTCCCGCCACAGCTGGGCTGGTTGGCAGTTCTACTGGTCACCCATCCTTAAGAGACATCTTTTTAAAACTACCATCACACCCATCACAAAGAGAGAAACAGCATCGCTCTTAGGGTAGGACAAGCTGAAGTTAACCAGTTTCCTCAGCTATCAGAAAATGTCTGTGGGCATTGTGACTGAATCTCTCAGCAGCTTTCCTGGGCTGCAGACAGGGGGGTGCTAGGAGTGGGGGGAGGACAGGTGTTCCCCACAGAGGCACGCAGGCAGCAGTGTAATCATTCTTTATTCCTGGGGACTGCGGTGTCGCCTTAGGAAAGAAGAAAAAAGAGAGATGGGCTACGTAGAGGAACAGGGATGCGGATTCCACGCTTTGTAAGAAATACTCAGATACTGGGCCTCGGCGGCTCGCAGGTGGGTTGGCTGTCTCCGAAGTCTTCCCCTCCTTCCCCGCCCCTCGGGCGCTCTCCCACTGCCCCATTTCCAAGGAACCTGCACCTTCTCCGCCTCCCCGCTCTGGGAGGCGTTCCAGGAGGCGCCGGGAGCGCCCGGGGCAGCCGAGCCGAGCGAGGCGAGCCGCGCGGGCCCCGGCCGGTCCCGCCTTCGCCGCGTCTCCGCGGGCACCTTCGGGCGGCGCCACTTCCCGGCTGGGCACCGCCGGGTCTCGGGGCCTGCGCGCGCCGAGGCGCCGCGGGGCGCTCGCCCGGGGCCGCCCCGCGCTCGGGACGCCCGGCTCTCCCCGCGAGGGGCACCCGCGCGGCCCCACGGTCGCCGGCGCCGCGGCCGCGGCCGGGGGGTTATGAATGGGCGCAGCGGAAGCACCGCCCCCCCCGGACGTGACGCTCGGCCAATGGCAGCGCGGTCTGCGTGGATGGATGAGGTCAGCGCTGTCGTGTCGGGAATGGAATGTGTAAGTGTAACATTCAGAACCGGGTAACACTCGGCGACCGAACGCGGCGGTCGGCGGCGATCGCGCGGGGGCCTGCGAAGCGCCGCTCGGGGCCGGCTCTGCCCGCGGGGAGGACGCGCCGCCGCCGTCGCCGCCGCCGTCGCCGCCGCCCAGCGCCGCCCGCAGCCGCCGCCCGCCCGCCCGCCGGGCCGCCGCGAGTGCCGGGGCCGGCCCCGCGAGCGCAGAGTAAACACCGGCGGAGTCGCTGCAGGAGGGAAGACAGAGAGATGCAGGGATTTGTGAGGTTACGGCGCCCCAGCTGCAGGATGCACTAGCCGGCCCGGGAGCCCCGGAGCGGCCGCCTTGTGGGGAGCGGAGCGCTGTGCACACGGGAGTGTGGATGAGTTGAAGTTGCTTTCCCGGGGGCTCGCCTTCCACGCCGCGGAGAGCGATCGGAGGGAGAGGCGAGGCGACCACTTCGGCTTGCCGCGGATCGGGCGCCGGGAGCGTTTGCTTTTTTTTTTTTTTTTTCGCCCCTCGCTTTTCTTTTTTCCTCCGTCTTGTTGCATGCACGAGAATTGCAGTCCGCTGCTCGCCCGCCCTGGGTGCGAGGTATTCCGCCCCGCCGTCTCCCGTGCATTGTGCGACCCGAAGATGAAAGACCGAAGGGGAGAAAGTTAAGGAAATCGCCCACATGCGCTGGATCAGTCCACGGCTTGGGGAAAGGCATCCAGAGAAGGTGGGAGCGGAGAGTTTGAAGTCTTTACAGGCGGGAAGATGGCGGACTGGAGCTGAAAGTGTTGATTGGGAAACTTGGGTGATTCTTGTGTTTATTTACAATCCTCGTGACCCAGGCAGGACACATGCAGGCCAAAAAACGCTATTTCATCCTGCTCTCAGCTGGCTCTTGTCTCGCCCTTTTGTTTTATTTCGGAGGCTTGCAGTTTAGGGCATCGAGGAGCCACAGCCGGAGAGAGGAGCGCAGCGGTCGGAATGGCTTGCACCAGCCCGGTCCGGATCATTTCTGGCCCCGCTTTCCGGACGCGCTGCGCCCCTTCGTTCCCTGGGAGCAGTTGGAGAACGAGGATTCCAGCGTGCACCTCTCCCCCCGGCAGAAGCGAGACGCCAACTCGAGCATCTACAGAGGCAAGAAGTGCCGCATGGAGTCCTGCTTCGATTTCACCCTTTGCAAGAAAAACGGCTTCAAAGTGTACGTCTACCCGCAGCAGAAGGGGGAGAAAATCGCCGAAAGTTACCAAAACATCCTAGCGGCCATCGAGGGCTCCAGGTTCTACACCTCGGATCCCAGCCAGGCGTGCCTCTTTGTCCTGAGTCTGGATACTTTAGACAGAGACCAGTTGTCACCTCAGTATGTGCACAACCTGAGATCCAAAGTGCAGAGTCTCCACTTGTGGAACAATGGTAGGAATCACTTAATTTTTAATTTATATTCCGGCACTTGGCCCGACTACACCGAGGACGTGGGGTTTGACATCGGCCAGGCGATGCTGGCCAAGGCCAGCATCAGCACCGAAAACTTCCGACCCAACTTTGATGTCTCCATTCCCCTGTTTTCCAAGGATCACCCCAGGACAGGAGGGGAGAGGGGGTTTTTGAAGTTTAACACCATCCCTCCTCTCCGGAAGTACATGCTGGTCTTCAAGGGGAAGAGATACCTGACAGGGATAGGTTCAGACACCAGGAATGCCTTATATCACGTCCACAACGGGGAGGACGTCCTGCTCCTCACCACCTGCAAGCATGGCAAAGACTGGCAAAAGCACAAGGATTCTCGCTGTGACAGAGACAACACCGAGTATGAGAAGTAAGTGGCCCTGCCCAGGCTGGGCCAGGTGTGAGGTTGGGGGTGGGAGTGAGGACCCAGAGCCCCTCATGGGTTCTGTGCCTTCCCGCTCGGAGCCCGGGACCAAGCAGCCTGGTTCAGGTGTGGGTAGCTCGGAGATGAGCGCCGGGAGTTTGAGCTCCTGGGGCACGCTGCACAGCCTGGTTCCGGTGCCCAGGAGCTGACAGTTTTCCCCTCTTGTCTAGGAGGCCTGCGAGGCAGGGTCCTGTCTCCTGTGCCGGGTGGGGGTTTGCCCCAAGTTTGGAAACCATGCTTCCCCTGTGGCCCTGGGACGTGGGGTCTGGGGCGATGTCCAGATCCCAGCGAAGGCATGTGTCTACCCCCTGACCAAGACCCTCCCCCAGGTGGATGCTTTGTGTGTGTTTCTCAGGAGCGGGAGTGCCTGCTTCTCCTGGAGTTTCTCAGCCACACACTGTCCTCTTTCCATGAACCTCCAATGCCTGGTAGTGGTGGAAGGTGTTTTAATTTCAGCTCCCAAACTTGTGTGCCCATCTGCTTCCTCCCCCGTGGCCTTGACTTTCATGAAGGGGAACTGTGAGCTTGTTGGGGCCTGTGGCCTTGGATTCCTTGGGTTGTTGGTTCATTCATTCATTCATTCATTCATAGATGAATATCCAATGTCTTTCTTAGGAGAAACTGTTTTTTTAAAAAATTGGGGCTCTGTCCCACAGCTGTAAACTCTGGCTACTAATTTAGATTTCCTTTTCTCCTTTGTCTTTATCTATTTGCATATAAATCGCAGACTGCTACCCTTTGAATGGGTGTGAGATACCTCCTACCCTCTGTAGTGAGGCAAGTTTTGTCTAGTTGCTAAGTAACTGAGTTGGTTACTTTGTAGCCCTTTTGAGTCTTCCTCTTCCTTCCCGGTGACACCAACTGACACACTGGATTTGGGGTCAAAGCCAGAGTCTACAAATCAGCTTTAACCTGAGCTTGGTGGGTTAGTTTCCTGGTGGCTGGGGCTGGCACCCCAGACTCTCACTTAGATCTGGCTGGGAAAGAGTTAGTGAGCTCCTACAGTGCATTTCCACGTTACGCCAGCTAAAAACCAGAGCAGCCTTGTGCTGCCCAGGGAAGGCAGGGGAACCTCTCAGCTGAGCGTAAGAGGAACTGGCAGAGGTTGGCAGATTTTGCAATTGATTCATGAAATGCAGAATAGGGAAATACTCTACAAACCTGATTGGAACAGGAAGGGGCTACGGTGGGAAAGCGGTGCTGAACAGAAGGGTTTGATTGTTGGCTGTGGACTTCCTCAGACACCCTGGCCTCTGTGGGAGTGGCTGGAAGGGAAATTAAAGTCTTTCCATACTTGATTATAGAGAGGGCAGGAGAAAGTCCCCAATCCCCAACACCTTGTGCTTTTCAAGCTCAAGAAGAGCCCGAGGTGAGACTCTATTAGGAATCCATGTTTGACTCCTGTTCCCGGGCAGTTATGTGTGAATGTGGGGCGCAGTTGCAATGAATTTAATTTTCTTAACAAAAGAAACTTCAGCTACGCTTGGAAATGAACTGCTTTGTTTATGCAGCACTTACATTGACCTGTTCCTGTGGGGGCTTGTAAGAAAGAAATGCTAGTAGCCTTTCAGGAATTTCTTTGTCTGGTTTTTGGTGAAGGAACTGGAGAGGAAGTCTAGCCTTACTATGTCTTCCCAAGTGTCTCACTGAATTTTGTAGAAGGCTCCTGGTGTTCTTCTTCCTTGTCTAAAGGAGCTGCAGCCGACATTCCGCTTTAGGAAATTTGAATTTTTTATTTATTTGAGAAAAGCCCTCAGTCCAATCCAACAATTAAATCTTCTTTTCCCTCTTATTCCCAAAGTAAGTATGAAATCACATTTTCTGCTGAATGGAAGCTTTTTTTTTTTCCCCCTGAGATTAGCAATGAAGAAAGGTGGGGTTGATTTCCTTGAAACTTTAGTCACTGCAAATTAAATTTAACTAATTTTTGACTCCTTTGTGATTGGGTCAATAAATTGGGTACCCACACCATTGTTTTGATTTGTGTTTAAAGACCACATGCGGTCGGGACCCTGGGATTGAGTCTCATCTCAAAAGTGGCAGTGAGTAGGAGAGTTAGTTTGCTCTTTTTCCCAAGCTGGGGTTCCTGCAGCAGGGTCACGTCTGGGTTTTCTTTCTCTTCTCCTCCTGCATCCCTTGCAGCCCTACTGTTGCTCAATGAGACAGGATGCACAGTGGGTGTATTTGCTAGCTGGGTGTTCCTGCAGTTGTGACCTGTTACTCTCATTAGGGTGTCAGAGCTCTTTATGTTAGAGAAATGGTGCTTGCAAGCATCATCACCTTTGATTTTTGACTTTGGGACAAACGAAGTGCAGCCGAAACTCTGAAATGCGGAAGAAACACACTAGCAGAACCAGCAATGTGCACTGTGCTCTGGAGTAAGAGCTACAGCTGCACTGCTAATACTGTTGCTTCCTAGAAGATGATCTTACCTGTGGGAGATGCACAGCTTCTCCAATCAAATGCAGGTGTCTCCAAGGCTTATGAGGAAGGTGGCCCTGGGGTCAGGCATATAGAATGGTCTGTGTAGGTTTTCTCCACATACCGACGCATCACGTGACTTTAGCTTCATCAGCTTGGACGTTAGGTTAGGCTTGTGGAGAGGGCGACAGCTTCAGAGGTGTTCCAAGCGCTCGTTTGGTGACAGCTTGTAAAAACACAATCAGTTTTCTTCGACCTCTCTCCTTTATTAGCAAATGCCTATGAAGAGGCTGCAATTTAATTTGCTCCCCTAAGTAACCACATTTAAGTTTGCTTTGAATTTATGGGATCTGATAATTACATTGAAAATGTGTGCTATTATGGCCAAGTGAGGATACCACAGAATATATATATATAGATATAGATGTATCAATTAAGAACTTAGTTATTATTATTATTATTTTTTTTGACAGGCAGAGTGGATAGTGAGAGAGAGAGACAGAGAGAAAGGTCTTCCTTTTGCCATTGGTTCACCCTCCAGTGGCTGCCACGGCTGGCGCACTGCGCTGATCCAAAGGCAGGAGCCAGGTGCTTCTCCTGGTCTCCCATGGGGTGCAGGGCCCAAGCACTTGGGCCATCCTCCACTGCCTTCCCACAGCAGAGAGCTGGGCTGGAAGAGGGGCAACCAGGACAGAATCCGGCACCCCGACCGGGACTAGAACCCGGTGTGCCGGCGCCACTAGGTGGAGGATTAGCCTATTGAGCCGCGGCGCCGGCCAAGAACTTAGTTATTTTTAGTGACTGTAGCACTATTGCTGATGAAGACTTATTGCTAATTGGTCAACAAGAGCTACATAGAATGAACAGAAATACTTTTCTCTTGGAACAGAGAGAAAATGAATTTCTCTTGCACTTCTTGACCCAGACTTTCAGGATTATATTAAAACATCCATTTTTATGACACCCATAATTAATTTCCATCAGTAACATGTTTTAACAGATGTAGATGACACCAGCTAAAATGTCGCTGCAGTGATTAGATGATTTGTAACGAGGCTTTAGGGAAATTCTTCCTGTTTTTCATCTTCTGAGCTTCTTAGGCATCTTTACAGAATTGCTGTATTTTTGTATGAACTTCACAGTTCAAATCCCTCCAGAGGGCATGATTGCGAAACTTCAAATTTGACTATCTGAAACTAGACGAGAGAGAGGGAAACGAAAGGTGGTTTCTATCTTTGACCCCTCCAAGGAAAGCAGTGGTGAACATTTTAAGTAGCTTTGCTGGGAACAGGCAAGATTCTGTGCGGGTCTTTTTGACTTCTCCCTTTTCCTGTGTGTGCTGCCGCCGTACCTCACAGCCCTGGTATCTTTGAGAGTCTCGAAAGCAAGTGATCATTCAGCTTCCAGCATCCTTGTTTTACGGGAGTACAAACTGGGGGCCAGGATGTGTTTCTGCTGAAGGTCACAAAACTAGTCAGTGGGGCCGGCGCTGTGGCTCAGTGGGTTAATGCCTTGGCCTGAAGTGCCAGCATCTGATACGGGCGCTGGTTCTAGTCCCAGCTGCTCCTCTTCCGATCCCGCTCTCTGCTATGGCCTGGGAAAGCAGTGGAGGGTGGCCCAAGTCCTTGGGCCCCTGCACCCACGTGGGAAACCTGGAGGAAGCTCCTGGCTTTGGATCAGTGCAGCTTCGGCCGCTGCGGCCAATTGGGGAGTGAATCATCGGATGGAAGATCTCTCTCTGCCTCTCCTCTCTCTGTGTAACTCCGACTTTCAAATATATAAATAAATAAATATAAAAAAAAAAAAAACAAAACTGGTCCGTGACAGGTTGCCCTAGAATACAGACCTCCCGAATTTTTCCTTGACCAACATTCTCCAGTTTCCAGCACTGTGCACCCTTGGAAGCTCTCTACCCTCTAGGCCATCGTCATGGGTGGCTTCTCAGGGGCTTTCTTGTGAAATCCTCTGGGAACCTGATGAAAACCTGGGGGGACTTTGTCAGTACAACACCACCACCAACTCATACACAATTTGCCCTGTGGTTTTGGGGCCTGATAGACATTTCCTGCCAAGGGCATCTTCAGCAGATTCGGGAACTCTTGTTCTGGGGCTTCCACTTTGCCTTGATTGCTGGCTGTGGTGGGTAGGACCCTGGAGCTGTTTAGTCTGAGAGGAGGTTCTGGAACTTTCTGTGTGACCCTAAGGGGTTTAGGGGATGGGCTGGGGTGAATCCACTGAACGGTAACTTGGATTCGGATGCATTCATAGCAGAAAGAAAATGTGCACAAGACAATAGGAATGTTAAGTGACTTTTTTTTTTTTTAACCCCCAGAATCCCAACTATTTTAACAGAAACCTCAGCAAGTCCATCTCCAGCAGTGAACCTTAGGTGCATATTTTCCTTTTCCATAATGACAGGTGGCAATTGAGATTCTTAGATTTTCAGTGTAAAACATTAATGGCTTTCTCCCACAGGTGTGCCACAGCACAAAAGCGTTTCTCAAATAAGCCATATGAGCATAGTC